TAAATAAATAAATAAATAAATAAATAAATAAATAAAAATAAATAAATAAACTTTTAAAAAATTTTTCAGAAAGAGAGAAAGGTTTGTTTTGGCTTATAGTTTAAAGGAATACAGTCCATTGTAGTGGGAAGTAATGGTGGCAGGAGGGAGAGGTGGCTGGTCACCATGCATCTATAGTCAGGAAGCAGAGCATGGATAGGAAGTGGGGTCAGGCTATAAAACCTCAAACCCAGGCCCCAGTGACTTACTTCCTCCATCAAGGCTACATCTTCTAAAGGTTCTACAACCTTCCCAAACAGTGCTACCAGCTGAGGACCAAGTATTCAAACACATGAGCCTATGGGGAATATTTCACATTCAAACCACATTCTACAAGGTCACTCAGCCTGTTAGTGACAGAGCCAGAATTCACACCCAGAGCCCATGGTCTTAACCACTATATATATACACTATATAGATTTTCACATGTGTATATACACATATACATATAGTCATCAAGGGTCTGGAATCCTTCTTTCCTCCATCATTCCCAGATATATAGTTTTTATCCTCAAGGCTGCATCATGGTCCAGAATGGCCTCTGGAATCCCAGCTATCATACCTCAGTTCTACGCAATGGTAGAAAAAAGGGGGGAAAAGATGGCCTCTTCTCTTTAACAGCCTTCCTCCAAATCCCACAAAGTTCTTTTATTTCTGACACTTGCCTAAGATCTGGTCACATGGCCAGTCTTCTACAAGAGCATTGACAACATTGCCACCTTGAATAATTCATGGATGTGAGAGGAGGATGACCTCTGAAGGTCAGCATACCAACAGGCCTGTTCCAGTTCCACCACCAATGAGCCGTATTTGCCATGAGCAAAATCCTTTAACCTTTCCAAACCTCACCTTCCTGTTTTATAAAATGAAAATTGCAGGACAGTTGTGGACCATATAGCAAGGTTTCAGTCAACAATGGGCCATGTGTGTCACAGTGGCCCCACAAAATCATATTGTCTAGTGACACTGTAGTGCCATCTTAATCTGTGCACATACACCACAGAGTTCCCACAATGACAAAATCACCTAACACTGCATCTCTCAGAACACATTCTAATATTTCCATTGTCAAGTGACACACAATGTTAGTTAAGGAACAACCGTTTTGATTTTTCTGGGCCTGAGGGACTTCCTGGGGTATGTGACAAGCAGGTATCTCTGCATAGTAGCAGCTGTAGGGTTGTCATTAGACGACTTCAACAAGAATATCAGTGCTTTCCTTCTGGCCCTTGGGAGATGTTACTGGTTTCTCTCCTTTCTCACCTTTCCAAGAGAGTAAAGGGTGCTGGGGAGGTGGCTCAGCCACTAAAGTGCTTGCCATTCAAGCATTAAAACCTGAGATTGAGCCCCAACACCTATGTAAAAAGCCAGGTGTGGTAGTACATGCTTATAATCCCAGCACTGGGGAGGTGAAGATAGGCGGATCCCTGGGGCTCACTGGCCAACCAGCCTAGCCAAATCTGTTTTAGTAAGAGACCCTGACTCAACATGCAAGGTGGACGGCTTCTGAGAAAACACCTGAGGTTGATTTCTGGCCTACACACACACACACACAAGTGCACTGTGAACCCACATGGACACACATACCTATACATGCACATATATATACATAAAAAGAGAGGAAGAAGGTGTGCCTATGAGCAAGAGGATCCCGTTGGAGTGTTCTAATGTGTGAACCCTTCTGACACCCTACCTCATTCCAGCCTTACCGAATCTTCAACACCTGGCTAGGGGACCCAGCCAAGAACTTGCTGCTAGCTGAGGTCATCAACGTCATCAAGCGGGAGGACCTGCTCAACAATGTGGCTCATGCTGGGAAGACCTTGCTCACAGGGCTACTGGACCTCCAGGTACCCACTTCAGCCCTGGCACTATACTTGCTGCCCAGCAATTCTCAGCCAGCCCCACAGCTTCCAGATTCCCAGGCCTTGGCACAAGCAAAGAATGGGGAGCCCTAGTCTTCCGTTGAAACCCCATTTCTAATTCCTCATTCATTATCTTTCTTAATATTTTATTTTTTTATTTTATGTGTATGTATATATTGCCTACATGTAGGTAAGTGCATCTGTGTCATGCAATGCCCATGGAGGACAGAAGAAGCTGTCGGGTCCCCTGGAACTGGAGTTTCAGACAGTTGTTAGTTGCCATGTGGGTGCTGGGATTCGAACCCGGGTCTTCTGCAAGAAGACCAATTTAACCCATCAGCCATCTCTTCAGCCCCCTCATTCATTATCTTTTAACATCAAATTCAAACATCCCTCCTTTGAGAAGACTTCCCTTGTGACAAGCGCCCTTCTAAACATTATTATTCCCTCTAATGTATTGCCCAGTGGGGTCTGTTGCAAGCCACATCTGTAACTTTATTCTTTATTATTTTGAGACAAGGTCTCAAGTAGCCCAGGCTGGCCTTGAACTCACTACATAGCTAAAGATGACCTTGAATTCCTGATCTTCCTGCCTCCATCTCCCGGGTGCTAGGATTTCAGGTGTGTGGCACCATGACTGGCTCACAAGTGTAATTTTAAACATCCTAGTGGCCAGATGAAAGTAAATATGAATAGTTAAAATTAACTTTAATAATATGTTATACTTAACCCATTATGTCCAAAATACTATCATTCCAATAAGTCATTAATAGAGAAAATAAGGATCATGTCAGGCATGGTAGTACACTCCTATAATCCCAGTATTTAAGAGGCACAGACAGGAAGATCACTGCAAGTTGGAGATCCAGTCTGGCCCACATAGCAAGTAGTACCAGGCCAGCAAGGGTCATGCTAAGATTCTATCTCACAAACAAAAGGGTTGGGGGTCAGGGTTGGAGAGACGGTTCAGTGGTTAAGAGCACTGGCTGCTCTTGCATAGGACCCAGGTTTGATTCCCAGCACACACATGGCAGCTAGGAACTGTTCATAACTCCAGAGGATCCAATGCCCTTTTCTGACCTCCTCGGGCACTGCACAACATGGGTGTACTTACATACATGCAGGCAATACACTCACACATATAAAATAAAAATAAAATATTTTTAAAAAACAAGAGGGTCGAGGGGATGGCCCCATAGGTAAAACGTTTGTCACAAAAGGGTGAGAACTGGCGTTCAGATCCCCAGCAACCATGTAAAACACCTGTAACCCCAGCACCAGCTGATACCCAGGTAACAAGCTTTGACACCAGGCTGTCTTCCTATTGCAGGCCCGGTATCCCCAGTTCATCAGCAGAGTGAGAGGTCGAGGCACCTTTTGCTCCTTCGACACTCCAGATGAATCCATACGGAATAAACTCATCTTAATTGCCAGAAACAAAGGTAAGAGGGCCAGGAATGGACACTGACCTTCATCAGTTTCATCAACATCTAACTCTACCTGGCATGGGTGCAAAGTATCACTAGATACAGGGGTAAGGAAAACAGGAGGTACACAGGTTAAACAAAGAAGAAATGTTCTTTCTCTAAAGAAGAAACATTACTACTGGGATTCTTTCTCTTTCTTCATTTCTTTTTTCTGTCATTTTGAGGCAGGGTCTCATGCACCCAAACCTCGCCTTGAACTTGCCATGTAACTCATTGAACTTCTGATCCTGCTGCCCCTACTTCCTGAGTGTTGGGATTACAGACATACACACTACACCTAGTTTATGTGGTGCTGAGGCTCAAACCCAGGGCTTCTGCATGCTAGGAAAGCACTCTATCAACTGAGCCATATCCCCAGCCCACGATGAGATTTCTTTCTCAATCATGCCTTGCAGCAGGCATCCACTGAGAAGCTGAGCTATACTAATGGTGAAGACGGGCACAGTGAAGGCCTTCAGAGTCCTTCCTTTAGAGAGCCACGGTGTGCCAGGAAAGGGGACGACAAACTATCGCTGCCTCAGTTCTGGGAACAAGGAAAATGTACAGAGTGGCTAGCTGGGGAAAGGGTAGAGGTCCCGAGTGTCAGAGGCTTCCTTGAGGAAGTGGCTTTGTACCTGAAAGCTTAAAGGATGAGCAGGAACTGGAGAGGTGGGCAAGGTGGGGAAGAGCTGCTGGGCAGGGGGAAGGGCATAAGCAATTACTTAAGGCACAATGGCACTAGAAGTAAAGAACTGAAAATAAGACTGAGATGAAGACTGACAGACAGACAGAAGCAGTGATGCTAGGGAGTGGATGCCAGGCCACCTCACATTGGCCCATGCCTGTGCAAAGCTCTAGACTTTATCTAAAGAGCTATGGGAGGACATTGAAGCAAGATCAGAGTACCTACTCTCAAAAACACGGTCAGACTGTTCTCTCACACCTTCTTTTATTTCTGTTTGTTTTTTCTGCTTTAGGACTGGGGACTGAACCCAGAGCCTTGTGCATACCATGCAGGTCCTCAACCACTGGGCCTTGCCCCCAGCCCTTGCTTGTGCCTTCTTATAGAGTCCCCACAGCAGCCCCAGATGACAGAGACAATTAGCCCTCTTTGTTTTTGTTTTTTAATATTTATTTATTGGGGGTGAAAGAGATGTCTCAGCAGTTAAGAGCACTTGAGGTTCTTGCAGAGGACCCAGGATTGGTTCCCAGAACCCACATGACAGCCCATAACCACCTGTAACTCCAGTCTTCTGCCTCCTTGGGCAACATACATACATCCACTCACATACACATAAAATAAAAATAAGGGACTGGCTGGGCGGGATGGCACACGCCTTTGATCACATACACATAAAATAAAAATAAGGGACTGGCTGGGCGGGGTGGCACATGCCTTTGATCCCAGAACTGGGGAGGCAGAGACAGATGGATCTCCGTGAGTTTGAAGCCAGCCTGGGCTACATAGTGAGTACATAGCGAGTTCCAGGACAGCTGGAGCTACAGGGAGACCCTGTCTCAAAAAGAACAAAAATAATTTTAAAAAAATAAATAAGGGACTGGAAAGATGGCTCAGCTCTTAAGAGCACTGACTGTTCTTACAGAGGACCCAGGTTCAATTCCCAGCACCCACATGGTGGCTAACAACAGTCCGTAACTCCAGTTCCAGAGGATCTGACACCTTCTGACCTCCACGGACATTGCACAACCCAGGTGCACTTATACACACGCAGGCAAAACACTCATACATATGAAATAAAAGCAATAAAATATTTTTTGGGCCGGGCATGTTGGCACATGCCTTTAATCCCAGCATTCAGGAGGCAGAGGCAGGCGGATCTCTGTGAGTTCAAGGCCAGCCTGGTCTACGTAGTGAGTTCCAGGACAGCTGGGGCTACAGGGAGACCCTGTCTCAAAAAGACCAAAATAATAGTAATAATAATAATAATAATAATAATAATATTTTTTAAATTAAAATTAAATTTTAACCTGGGCATGGTGGCACATGCCTTTAATCCCAGCACTTGGGAGGCAGAGGCAGGCAGATCTTTGTGAGTTCAAGGCCAGCCTGGTCTACATAGTGAGTTCCAGGACAGCTGGGGCTACAAGGATACCCTGTCTCAAAAAGACAAAAATAAATAAATAAATTTTAAAAATACTTATTTATTGCTTTGAGGATCCAACGTAGAGCCTCACACATGCTAGACTAGGCAGGCATTCTACCACTGAGCTAGCCGCAACCTCAGCCTGCCTACCACCCCATTTTTTACTTTTTTAAAAAATTTGTTATTGTGTGTGATACGTGTACCTGTGAGTGTGCATGGTGCATGTTGGCAGTCAGAGGCCAACTTCATCGAGTCGTTTCTCTCCTACCTTTACATGAGTTCTGGGAACTGAGCTCAGGTCTTTAATTTGCACAAGTGCTTTACCTGTTGAGCCAACACACACACACACACACACACACACACACACACACACACACTTTATATTTTATGTATTGCCTGCATGTGTGTAAGTGCACCTGTGTCATGAAGTGCCCCCAGAGATCAGAAGAAGGCATAAGATCCTCTGGAACTGGAGTTACAGCTGGTTGTTAGCCTCCATATGGGTGCTAGGACTCAAACCCAGGTCCTCTCTGTAAGAGCAGTCAGTGCTCTTAACCACTGAGCCATCTCTCCAGCCCCACCCCTTTTATTTTTAAATTTGGAGATAAGAATCTCACTAAGTTGCCCATATTGGCCTTGAACTCACTCTGTAACTCTGACTAGCCTTGGATTTGTGATCCTCTTGCCCAAGCCTCCTGTGCCACTAGGCCTGGCTTGTTTTTTTAAAGATAGGGTCTCATGGAGCTGGAGAAATGGCTCAGCAGTTAAGAGCTCTGGTTGCTCTTACAGAAGACCCAGGTTTGATTCCCAGCATCCACATGGCAGCTAACAACTGTCCATAACTCCAGTTCCAAGGGAACTTGGCACTCTCTTCTGACCTCTGCAGGCATTGCATGACACAGGTGCACTTACATACATGCAGACAACACACTCATTCACATAAAAATAAAAATAATAAATAAGTAGGGCCCACTCCTCCTTGGTGATAGCTCAGCCCCTTCTGCATGCACTTTTATAATTTATTTGTTTGCATAATTTTTTACCACAGTACACCATGAGTTTCCAGCAGACAAAGACTTTATCTCAAAACTAACATCCAACCTACCAGGACGAGGAGAACAGTTAGAAGGGAAAGTATGAAGAGAAGAATGGATGAGCAAAAAGAAGAAGGAAGGAGGGATGAGGAGTGGGGGAAGGTCAGATGGGGGGGCCCGGTGGAGAGAGGGATGGAGGGTGAACGGCAGCCACATCCTCTCCAGCTCTCCTGCATGTGGCCTTAGGAGCACACACTCCTAACCCACCTCCTGCCTCCTCTTCCAGGTGTGGTGTTGGGGGGCTGTGGAGACAAATCCATCCGTTTCCGTCCCACACTGGTCTTCAGGGATCACCATGCTCACCTGTTCCTCAACATTTTCAGTGACATCCTAGCCAACTTCAAGTAAAGAAGCCATTTCCACGACACTCAGAGAAAGCCCTGGTCTCAACAGTTGTCAAATTGATTAGTTTGCCTAATTCATATTTTCACTTAAAAGTTTATCAGAGGCGGATGCATAAACTTAAGGGTCATTTGTGGGGAGGGGACATTTTTCAGTGGTTGGCAAGGAGGGGACAGGGAGGAGCTGGGTTTTGTTGTCTTCCCTGCAGAGCTAATGGTGCCCATTTGTTGAAGCCCACAAGTTCTATGTGAGCCTTAGACGCTGTCCTAGGAAAGGCCATGGAGCTACATTTCTGTCCCCCACTCCCCCCTTGACTAACCACAACAATTTCTTTAGAAACCACTCAAGGGAGTTACACCTACTCTGAGACAGGTGGAAAGAGCCCTTGAGTCCCAGTTCATCTCTAGTACCCGGTCCTGGGGTCAGAGGTGCTGGCTTCCCCTCGCCCTATACAAGCAAACTTTCTCCCCACTTCCTACCAAGTCCTGAGCTCTATACACCACACACATGACTCAGCAAGGGCCTAGAGGGCTCTTGGGAAGGGATAGAAGGACTGAATTTGGAATGGGGGAGGAGCTTCTGGTGTCCTAAAGACTGGGATCCACTAAGCCCTATGCCTGGGGTGATGTCCCTAACCTGTGAAGTCTGTCCTTGAATTGCCTCTCACCTTGGAGGATCTCTGGGTGATATCAGCAATGGTTCTTAGTCAACATGCTCCACTCCCCTAAACTCTTTCCTCCCAGTTTAGCGCTAACCTAGACCCATGAGGAGGAAACTGCAGGATGAGCACCCAAGGGACGGACGCATACTCATGTTGCCTAAGTCGAGGGGCTGGGCAGCAGAGCCCCTTCATCCTGTGTCCTGGGGCCTCTAACTTGTGACTCTTGTCTTGGGAAGCTTTTCCAGTCTTTCTCTCATCCACTTTCCTTGTTCCATCCCAGAGGACCACTGCTGGGCTAGACTTCTTAAGGGCCATGCTGTTCATTAAAGGTATCAGAGCACCAAATGTGAAAAAGCATCTTACTGGTTCAAGGTGGTGCCCTTAAACTTGGCACCAGAGCCCAAGCTTTTCCTGAGTGTGGGGTTTACCGGGCAGCCAATGCTTACACAGGCTCAAGCATCTCGGCTGGAGGAGAGACACTCTTGGAACTGACTTGGCCTCGGATGTTCCTGACAAGACCCCTTGATTGTCCTACAGAGTGCTTATCGGTTACATGCACATGAGGTTGGCTTATATTCTCCTGCCAGAAGCTGCTTTGCCTCCTGGTGCCAGGGTTTCTGATTCAGTACTTTGCTCTCTTAATAATGAATCATCCAAAGATCTAGCTTCCACACTTCCTCAGACATGGTCATCCACCTATTTGTATTGAGCAGTGAAAGGCGCTGACATGCTTAATGGAAATGGCCAGATCACGGATCTGGGTTCACCTGGTGTCTCTGCAGTCTGAGGTTCAGCCGCTGCTTTTCACAGCCATGTTTAAGGTCATTCACGCTGCCATCTACGTGAGGGGGTCTGCCTCCCTCCCTGCAAGATTTCACTCAGAAATATGTTTATTTCCACATCAACCATTTATTCCCTCATCAAACTTTCATGAAATACCCATGCTGTCCTGGGCCTGTGCTAAACAGCAGGAATACAAACCTGAAATGAGATATACAGTGTCTGCTCCCAAGGGACTCCCATCTTCTTGGGAACGACACACTTGTAAACCTATGAGGGAACCAGAGTGGCAAGTGCACGGTAGCAGAGGTGTAGGAACGTCAGTAAGTCTGAAGAGTGTTCGAGGCCAAAGAGATGTGTGAGCAGAGTCCTGAAAGAACAGAACCTTGCCATGCAGACAAGGCAAGGAACAGTGTCGCAGGAGGTGAACAGCATGTGTACAGGCACAGTGGCTTGTGCTCTCAAACTTTCCCTGAGGACCAAGACTCCACACAGAATATCCCACAGTTCAAAGTCTTATTTGACAAGCAAGGAAAGTGCAGACCAAACCATAATCATCTATTGACTTAAGCATGTTTCCTCCTGGGAACCTTAGTGTTACATACAGATATCCAAAAAGGTCCCAGGAGTCCAGAGTTTGAAGTCTGGGCACAAGCAGAAACTTGGCTTTCTTCAGAGGAGGGAGTGGTTCTGGTATTTTGTTTTCTCCCCATAGGGCACAGACAGGAAAAAAAAAAATCAGTGTGTTTGGAAAGTCATTTCCAGATGTGTTATTCATTCCTTACTGGAGAAATTTCTTCTCATTTGAAAATCAAAACTTTAAGCCATTTACCAACAAGTTCTTGATTCAGGGCACAGTGTGTTCCTGAGACATTCTGTCTTTGGGTGTGGGAGTTAGTTGGAGAAAGATTTTCCACAGAACTCAAGATTGTAGAAACTTGGAAGAGGTTGGTGAAAACCTGGGGAGCCCATGAAAAGGCTGCTGCCTAGGGCAGGGCTCACAAACCCTCTGTGGCCAAAGGTCTGGCCATGCACCCATCACGCATTAGTGTAATAGTTTAGTGAAGTCTCCAGAAAACTTCATCAGTTCTACAGGAAATAAGGCCCAGTACTAGCAAGTCTTAGCGCATCCTCCCTTTATTATAAATGGATGGTTTTTTATAATTTTTATGGATGCTCAGTAATCATGCAAAATTGTGCACATTAATGTACCTATAGATCTAGAACTATCTATCTACCATTTATCTATATCATCAGCTCAGAGTAGAAAACACAGCTAGGGAGCATTGCAGACTCACACATACAAAGTGATCTTGTTTACAGTAATCTGTCGACAGTGCCCATAAGTGACAAGGAAACTAACACACGTCACGATGTAACTGGTGACCATGTACACAACTCCATGAATTAAATGTTTCCTGTGTTAATCAGTATTCTTAAATTAAAAGACAATGTTTATAATAGAAACATCAGAGTGCATGTGGGCTTTTTCGGGGGTTCTATTTTCCTGGGGGATGCACAGAAACACCTGTTCACCCTGATGGGACAATAACAGACTGAAGAAACTATTCTGTCCAACTCTGGCTTAGTGAAACAGTGCATTTACTGGGGTTACTCAGAGCAGCATGGTTAACTCAAGACAGCTTTGCTATACAAAAGCCCACCCCAGGGTGGATGACAGCTAAGGAAAGGGGCATTGCTGAGTCCCTGTGCAACTTGTAGGCAGCTCCACTGAGTTCTCTCCTCCACCATCAGTTGCTCATAGAACCCCAGTCAGGCCCCATGGGTCTTGTCATTTTCTGTATTCATTACTTTTCTCCTTGCTGTGACTCAGTATCTGACAAGAAGCAACTTAAGGGAGAAAGGGTTTACCTCAGCTTGCAGTTTTAGAAAGCATACAGTCTGTCATCGTGAAGTCATAGTGGCGGGAGCATCAGACAGCTCATCGCATTGCTTCTGCAGTCAGGAGCAGAGAACAGACAAGGCCAAGCTGGAAATCCTCAAGGCCTGCCCCTAATGACCCTGTAAAAAACATCTTCATGAAGCCAGGCATGGTGGTGCACGCCTGTAGTCCCAGCACTTGGGAGGCAGAGGCAGATGGATCTCTGTGAGTTCAAGGCCAGCCTGGTCTACACAGTGAGTTCCAGGACGGCAGGGGCTACAGGGAGACCCTGTCTCAAAAAGACAAAAAAAAAAAAATCCATTAGCTAGGAATCAAACACATGAGCCTATGGGGGACATTTCACATTCAAACACAACAGTTTCATAAGCTTCTGACACCTGTAAGTTTTGTGTGAGTTCTGTGAGTCTCTGAACCTCCCTTCCATCCACAAGAACTGCTTCAAGAGAAAAACAGTTATGTGACACCTGGGATCAGGCAGATGGGAAGTCAAGCCTCTGAAGTTCACCTTCAAGGCTTTGCAGGGACTGAGCACAGGATGGAGGAGCATACTTAGAGGAAGGTAGGTGGGGACTGATGCCTCTGAGGTTAGTACTGCTAGATCACAAAGCGATGGAGATGAGAGGATACCAGAGCAGTTAAAGAGGCATACTGGCTTGCCTCACTGATGACCTTCTGCACCATTCCAAAGAGCACAGGCTTTCCATACTGGTGACAGAGCTGCTAAGAGTTTGGAGCATTATCCAAGACACATTAGAAACTCCTGAATTGGGGCTGGAGAAATGGCTCAGCAGACAAGAGTGTTTGCTGCTCTTGCAGAAGACCCAAGTTCAGTTCCCAGAACCTATGTCAGGTGACTCACAATTGCCTGTAACTCCAGCTCCTGGAGATCTGATGCCCTCTTCTGGTCTCCATAGGTACCTGCACTCATATGCACATACCCACACATAAATGCACACTTGTACATACAATTAAAACTAAAATCCTTATTTTCTTATTTTATGTGTATGAGTGTATTGCCTGCATGTAAGTGCACTCATGTTGTGCAGTGCCCATGCAAATCAGAAGAGGGCATTGGATCGCTTGGAACTGGGGTTAAGTCAGTTGTCAGCTGCCATGTGGGTGCTGGGAATTGAACCCAGGTCCTCTGCAAGAGCAGCCAGTGCTCTTAACCTCTGAGCCATCTCTCCAGCCCCTTTCTGGTTTTTTGAGATGAGGTCTCCCTGTAGCTCCAGCTAGCCTGGAACTCTCTATGTAGACCAGGCTGGCCTCAGTCTCATAGAGATTCACCTGTCTCTCTGCCAAGTACTGGGATTAAAGGTGTGGGTCACCACATGGCTAAAATAAATCTTTTTACAAATTTTTCTTTATTATTTTTATGTGTATGAGTGTATTGCCTACATGTAGGTAAGTGCACCTGTGTCATGCAATGCCCACAGAGGTCAGAAGAGGCTGTTGGATCCCCTGGGACTGGAGTTACGGACAGTAGTTAGCTGCCATGTGGGTGCTGGGATTTGAACTCGGGTCTTCTGCAAGAACAATCAGTGTTCTTAACCACTGAGCCATCTCTCCAGCCCTTAAAATAAATCTTTAAAAAAAGAAAAACTCTGAGTGCACAAAGAATAGAGAGGCTGGAAAGTCATTAGGGACCTATGGTGTCCTGGTGGCCTATGGCCTGGACAAGGACATCAATAATGGGGCCAGAGAGGGAAAGAAAAGTGCAGAATTGCAAACACAGGGCAGATTTTCAGTGCTGAGTACACTTAGTAATCACTCTAAAAGCCTTACAAAAATTATTCCAGATTCTCTATATTGCCAGTGGAAGTGGCAAGTTGATGACTGAGTGAAATAATCTGGAAGACAGAAGCAATACAGAGGCACAAAACACTCACTAGGCACCTGTGGAAATCGGCCAGCTCCCTTGGTCTTTCTGGCATCCTAAGCTGGAACTGTCTCACTTCTCAAATGACCCAGGAGTTCTCTTGGTCCTTTTTTTTTTTTCCCACCTTGAAAATATGCAGTTCATAAGCTGGACATGGTGGTGCATGCCTTTAATCTCAGAGGCAGAGGCAGGCAGATCTCTGTGTTCAAAGCCAAAGCCAGCCTGGTCTACATAGTGAGTTCCAGGACAGCTGAGGCTACAGGGAGACCCTGTCTCAAAAAGACTGAAAAAAACAAACAAAAGAAGTTCAAGGGGTTGGAGAGATGGCTCAGAGGTTAACAGCACTGTTCTTACAGAGGATCTGGGTTTGATTCCCAGCACCCACATGGCAGCTAACAACCATTCATAACTCCAGTTCCAGGGGAATATAACACCTTCTTCTGACATCTGTGGGCCTTGCATGACATACCTTCAGATAATATACTTGTACATATAAAATAAAAATAATAAATTTGAAAAAGGAAAATAAGCAGTTCAAGGGGCCAGCAAGATGGCTTAGTGGGTAAAGGTGCTTGTGCAAGCCTGATGACCCCAGTTCAATCCCCAGAAAACACATAAAGGTGAAAGTAGAGAGCTGACTCCACAAAGTTGTCCTCTAACATCCACATGTTCTCTGTGGCATGCACACACACGTACTCACACATCATGTACACAATAATAATAAAATTTAAAAAATTATATTTAATCTATGCAATTCAGACAACACATTTTCCTGTGACATCCAGTGCATCAGTGAAACAATTGACTCAGATGGCAATACATTACCTTAAAATCAAATGTACCTTTTGAAATGTTCACATGTAGACAGTGATATTATAATGATCATTTTTTAATTTTTTTGGGGGGGATGGTCTTTGAGACAGGGTCTCCCTGTAGCCCCAGCTGTCCTGGAATTCACTATGTAGACCAGGCTAGTCTTGAACTCACAGAGATCTGCCTGCCTCTGCCTCCTGAGTGCTGGGATTAAAGGTGTGTGCCACCACACCTGGCTCCATTTTTTAATATTTATATATCACGCATACTCTGTTGGAGCCTTGAAATTTTCACAACAGATCTATGAAATGTATTTTCTGGGTGCCTATATTTTGAAGCGAGAGATAAGACACGGTCTATATCTTATCCATGTAGCCCAGGCTGACCTCAGCCTATCAATGTAGCCCAGGCTTCTCTTGGTGATGGCCCTGCCTCTCCACCTCTCAAACACTGAGATTATAGATGTGCATTACCACACCCAGCATCATGCATCTTGGAATTCAGGATTTGATATGTTCTGTATATGAAAAAATACATTAGTGTGTGAACAAACACATCTGGTTGAACACATCCATGCAGTCAACTCTGGATTGGTCAAGGTAGATTGTCTGGTAATCAACCTTGGAAAGTCAATGTGAACTAGTCACCATCAGCATAAGCTCCAAAGGGCACAGCCTAAGACAGGTGGGTTTAAGATTCTACAACTTCAAGGTCAGATACTATTTTATCTTTGTTCTTATTTCTATTCATCCTTTTTTCTTTTTTGAGAAGAGTTTTGCGAATGCTAAGCTGGTCTTGAACTTGCTATATATAGCTAAAGATGATGTTGAACTTCTGATCCACCTGCCTCTACCTCTCATGTGCAGGGACTGCAGGTGTGCACCACCATGCTTGTTTTTATGCAATGCTGGAGATGGAACCTAGGACTTCATGAATGCTAGGCAAGCATTCTACCAACTGAGCTACATTCCCAACCTTCAGACACTCTAAAAAGTCACTACTCTTTGCCGGGTGTGGTGGTGCATGCCTTTAATCCCAGCACTCAGGAGGCGGAGGCAGGTGGATCTCTGTGAGTTCAAGGCCAGCCTGGTCTACATAGTGAGTTCCAGGCCAGCTACTGTCTCTCAAAAACACCAAAAAAAAAAAAAGCACTGAAATTTTAAAAATAATAAAGTTATATAGTAATTGCCTGGCACATGGTATTTGCTATATGCTCATTTCTTTCAACACACCTTTTTACTGGGCCTGGTGGTGCAGCTCTTGGGAGACAGAGACAGAAAGATCACCTCAAGTTTGAGGCCAGCTTTGTCTACTTAGCAGCTTTCCAGGCCAGCCATGGCTGTGTACAGAGACCAAAACAACAGCAACAAAAATAAGCAACAAAACACTGTTTCTCCATGACTGGCCAAATGTCTCATAGAATTCTAACACCACCTCTGTATTCCACAATAGCTACATTCTTACTCATAAATGTGTTTCCTAATGCAGGGACAGGCCTAGGGTGATGCTGGAATGTTTCAACCATTCATCAGTAAACCAAATATTTTGTCCCTGGTGTGGGTTCAAACATGGCCAGATGGTATTGGCACTGCCTGATTAACTCTAATCAGGCAGGATTTTATAGTTGAATGCTGCAGGGTCAAAACAAGACCATAAAACTTGGACACTGCCTGAAGCTCAAAGGAACCCTGTTGTTTTCCATTAAGGAACTCCTAAGTCCTGAGAACACAGAATGGCAAAAAAGGAAAAGCTCCAGCCTGATGCATTCTGGGAAGTGCATTAGATGAAGTGGTTTAACAACTGGGGACAGATATGGCTGAAAGATATGGCTAGACTCACTTTGGGAAAACAGGAAAGATGACCGTTACCAAGGG